GTACAGGCCAATGGACATGGCCAGAAGCGAAAGGGCGCAAACGGCGCAGGACAACATCATCAGCGGACGACGCGGGAACTTGTGGATCAGAAGCGGACCCAGCAGGGAGGTGCACAGATTGAAGCCGCCAATGCCCAGATTCAGCCAGGTGGCTGCGCCCGGGGAGAAGCCAGCCTCCGTCAGAATGGACAGGGAGTAGAAGAAGATCTGAAAGAGGGGGGGAGGGATCGACATCAATTTCCAGACAGTTTGAGGCGGAGCCTGAAGGACCTACAGCATTGACGCCACTGAGCTGTTGGGAGGCCTGGAAGGAGCAGACCAAGAGTAGTGGCAGAAACAGCTCTTTGTCGCCCAGAACCTGACACAGGGAGCTATCCTTGTTGCTGGCCTGGGCCTGAGACTCCAACGTGGCCTTCATTTCGAGCAGCTCCCGCTGCACTGCTTCCTCGGACCCCTGGCCACGTATACGTCGCAGAGCCAGTTCACTGGCTGCCGGGTCGCGCTTGTGCAGGTAGAGCCAGCGAGGACTCTCCGGAAACCACCACATGGGCAGCAGCGAGGCCACCACCAGCAGTGTGTAGAAGCTCAAGGCGTATGGCCACAGATCCTCATTGCCAAGCAGCTGGGAGAGGGTGACCACCTGGGCGAGCAGAATGCCACCCGTCACACCGATGCAGGTGAAGACGCCGACACTGCCGCTCAGCTCCGGGGGAGCCAGCTCCAGCAGATACATGGGTTGGGCGGTAAAGATCAGGGCAGACGCGATCCCGCCAAGGAAGCGTCCAGCCATCAGCATCTCCAGCGACTTGGCAGCCCGACACCAGGTGAAGAGCATGCCGCAAACCACCAGTACCGCCCCGCTAATCATGAGACAGCCCTTTCTGAAAGAGGCAGTGAGATAATTCCAAGGGTCGGCTTTCGCCCGCTTTTGCCCACTCACCGGCCGTACTTGTCGCTACACAGGGCGCTGAAGCAGGAACCGCAAATGCCCCCAATCAGATAGATGGAGACGATGCTGGTCCACAGTATATCCAGCTGGCTGGGGCTCACGACGGTGTCGTACTCGCTGGCCAGGATATCCTCACACCAGCGCTTGATGAGCTCGGCCGGTGCATTGAGAACGCCGAAAAAGTATCCAACCGGAATGGTGGTGCCCATCGTAACGCTCACGCAGATGAGCAGCAGAAACGTGTTCCAGCCGCGACCTCCGGCTGACGTGACGTACTGCAAAGATAGCAAAGTAATTTAAATGATTATCGAGAGCCAAACGAAAGACTTAAGCCACAAACTCTCTCCGAATGTGCGAGAGAGTGCCTGTCAAGCAAGTTACCATAACCAAGACCATGATGAGCCACAAACAAAGAGCAACCAAATCCGCGATGCTGCTTCGCTGCGAGCCAAAACTAAAGTGTTTCGGATCTTTGTTGGGGCTTGCTGCCGAGCTCCGACACCAGCGTTAGTCATCTATCTCTGCTCCCTCCCTCCAATTGTATGTCAATTGCATACACAGAGAAGGTTTGGAAACACTGCTCCTCCTCCAACTACAGTTGGTTACAGCACCCACAGAGCCCGCCATAGATAAATGTCTCGTGTATTGTTCTACTTGTTTTCTTATCACTGACACGGGCGCTTCTCTTTGGGTTGCACAAAACATATCCGAACGCTTTAATGCACTACTGTAAAGTGTGCACAATGCCCTCGTGCCGCTTCGGTTTTTATTTAGCGATATATCTATTATAGGGCAGTGCAATAAACTATCATATCACTATTAGCAGTTGCCTCAAGTGAGCCATGCTCGCCGGAAGGGTATCCCCTGATGGGTCGCTTCTGTGGCGGATTTTTTACAACAATAAATCTAATTAACAGAAAGAGTATTAGTCGGAGTGCCGCGCCGTCCCCAGGCAGGCGCTTAATTGAACATGTGCGGCAGGCGATAAGGGACGGGCCTTATGCACAGTTTGAACTTAAAGTTAGTTCCTCATTCATTTCTTGTTTTTATTTTTTGTACAGAAAACTTATGACGTAGACAAGATTAAAAAAATTGGCTTATTGTCGATGAAGGCACTAGGCACGGTCGCCCCCCATCTTTGCAGTTGTACATTTAACAGACGTATCATTAGCTAATTATATCTAAACGTAAGACGTGCGTCTGCGACGAGTATCATTTGACCTTGGACCGGAAACCCTTCGAAACGAGAGGTGCCACCTCTGAGGGATCCCGTCCGCGCGTTTCCGGCAGATAGAATTTCGTTAGCAAACAGAGCAGCACACAGGCAATGGAGAACGGCAGGAAGACAAAGGCTCCCCAGGCATTCTGTAGACTGGGGAAGGATATGCCAATTATGAAATTGCACGTCCATGACGCGAGGCTGCCCATCGACATGGCCACGGAGCGAGGGGCCACCTCGAATAGTTCTGCAAATTGAAAAGCATAATTCAAATCAGTTAGCTGTCCAATAATTGAGCCAGCCCCAACGGCAGTGTCTGGAATAGTCTATATATAGTCGTAAACAAACTGGTCCAATGAACCTCGTTCAATTCAATTATAGACAGAGTGGTCGGAAATTGGAGCAACTGGCGGCATCACGAGACTCGACTTCGACTTCGATTTTGATGCTTGTGGCAGCTGGCGTCGTCACGCGACTCGGACCGGCCCGGCCTCAAATTACCTGATCCAATGAAGTAGGGAATGGGACCCAGGCCGAACTGGTAGAAGAAAATATATCCCATGATGCAGAAAATGCATGCCATGGCAAACCAGCTGACAAAGTCCTATAATTCACACAAAACCAGAATCAGAATATGCAATCAGATGGCAGAGACGCAAACACTCACAATATAGTACAAGACGAAGGCAATGGTGAAGAGGAAGACGGAGCACATGGCGCAGGAGAACATCATTAGGGTGCGTCTGTTGTACTCGGACATCAGCCAAGGTCCCAGCAGCGAGATGGCCAGATTCAGGCATCCAGCACCCAAATTTGCCCACTGGGCGTTCACTGTGGAGAGGCCGGCCTTCTCAAAGATGGACACCGAATAGTAGAATATCTGCAAAGAGCTCAGATTGTAGAAATGTCCATATATGTACGGGTATGTCAGTAGCACTACTCACGGCATTGATGCCAGACAGCTGCTGGCCGCCGTGGAAGCAGCAGACAATGACAAGCGGCAGCAGAAGACGGGAATCGCGGAGCACATCGCAGAAACTGCTTGTCTGCACCTTGGCATTGGCCTCGGCTTCCATCTCGGCCAGCTCCTGGGCGATGAGGTCCTCCGCATCCTCGCCGCGCAGCCGCTGCAGCTCTCGCCTGGCCGCCGCACGATTGCCCTTGACTATGTACAGGAACTTGGGGCTCTCGGGGAAGAGATACGAGGGCAGGTAACACACAATAATCAGGCCCATGTAAGCGGTCAACGCATAGTGCCAGAGATCAGCGGTGCCAAAGACATTGGCCAGACTGCATACCTGGCCCACGACCACGCCTCCTGTCACACCCACGGCACAGAAGACGCCCAGTGTACCGCGCAGTGCCAGCGGAGCCACTTCGGACAGATACATGGGCAGGGTGGCGGTTACGAGGCCCGATGCGAGACCCACTATGAAGCGTCCAATCAACAGCATTTCCACGGAGTTGGCGGCGCGGCAGAAAAAGAAGAGCACGGCTCCGATCGAGAACAGCGCTCCGCAAATGAGATAGCATGCTTTTCTGTAGCGAGAGAGAGAGTGAGATATTACTATTAACAGTTTCCGTTTTACATTTGCACTGAATTAATGACCTACTGAATATTTTTAGGTCGTATGCCAATTTGTATTGCAGATTAGGTGACATATAAAACTCTAGAAAAGCGATAAGTTTAGCCGCGTCTTATCTAACTGATTAATGATTAGCTTATTCACATACCTGCCGAATTTATTGGCCGCCCCAGCTCCGCCCAAAGAGCCGATGGCGCCACCGACCAGGAAAACAGAAACAATGCTCGACCAGAGCAGATCCAATCCGGTTTCGCTCAAGTTGCTGCCATAGTTGTCATGCAGCGTTTGATTACACCAAATTTTCATGAGCTGTAAAGATAGTGTGTTATTGCTTCCACTTGATAGATACTTGGGTTGGGTCGGTACTACGCACCTTGGAGGGAGCATTGATAACGCCTATGCAGTAGCCCGTGGACACTGCGCCACCAAAGGTGGTGGCAAGGGCCACAAGCAACAGCAGCTTGCTCCATCCCGGATTCTGCAATTATTTTCAAAACTTAATTAGTACTCGTACTTATTATTGAAAAACATTTCAGTGCGCATAAAAGCTGGACTCTGATAGCGTTTAGCGGTGCGGTGCGTCATTGTACTGTACGGGGTCATAGCGTACTGATTTATTCCCGGAATGGAATGCTTTAATCTGAATAATTGTCGCTAATTATGGCTAATACTGACCCAGGGTCAAAAACTTTCCATTTCTCTTCAAGAGCATTGGGATTAGAACAGAACAGATTGGGTAGAAAACTATTTATAATCAAGCTGCTATAGCTGAATGAGATTGGTGATGTCTCTTTATAAACTGATAAGCAATGCCTGGAAATTCAGCTGATAAAACGAATAAAAATATCGCAAATTTGCCCCAAATATTCGACTGTACAGTACAGAACATGTTTCTATGTACACAAAGTGCCTAATGTAAAGTTTAAATGAGTCAATGTCACAGTGGCTTATACTGTGTGTCAAGTAAATACATATTGTACATACATGTGTGTGTATAAGCGTCATCTGTGTTAGTCTATTTTAAGAATTTGAAAACATTTACATATATAGTACATATGTGCATACATATGTATACTTTGTATGAATAAAAGTATCAACAAGAGTAGGAGAGATAAAAGAACAGCATCCAACAAACACATGGACAACAAAGAAAAAAGTGCATAGTTCAAAAGCAGGAAATCGAATAGTTTACAGTTAGAGAGGTAAACAGAACAGATCTTGCAGAGAGAACAGGAGAGTAGAGTGTTGTGCTCAGTTAAAGAACCGTTTACTCTCTCACCTGATTTGTATCCGTCTGTTGCGTTAGCAGTTCCACTCGTGTGGGCTGGGGGTATAACTGTTGTGACTCGGCGGGGTAATTTTTGTTTTCCATATTCATGAGCGGTACATGAACGTTGGTTGTAAGGAACACTTTATAAGGCACTCGGAATACACGCGAACATTAACGATGCGTGTGATGATTGTTAACAAAATTGTTGTTGTATCGTAGCGGTCCCGCAATGGATTTGCAGTGTTGTGTAACGCACAATGGTTATCATACAGGTGAGAAGGTTTCGTGGTCGTATGCAAATTCATACAATATTATTCAACAATTTGGAAAAATTGTTTATATTCGACGATAGAACAGAAGCGTACACCGGTAATGCCAGCGTTGGAGGCCTGGAGCAGCCTGACTGCGCGATAATGCAAACCGATTTATTGGGGGCCGGCAACGGCAACTAGTATCAAGAATTCGCTCTCTCCCTCTCTGTGTACAGTTTTAGCTCATGGCACAACACACACAAGGTAGGGTCTTAGCGAGCGCTCTCTTGCAAGGCGTGTATCAACGAATTAACGGTAACGGTTGTAATTACCGTTTTATTAATATTACGAATTTAATGTTTTGGGTTAAACATTCAATGTGTTTAGGCGACCTCACAGGGAGAAGACAGAGGGGCAAAAGAAATGCCACTATCAACAAGCAGGTTGGCCGCACCTTATGTACGTAATGTGTCATGCGGCCGCTTGCCCCATTCGTATTATTTATGAGTTCGTGCGAATATTATTAAATTAAATACTGTTGGATAAGTATAAACAAATAAGAAGAAGAGTCGACGTTGGACCAATTTTTCCTGTCGCCAGAAGCTGAGATCGCCACAGAGCCGTTGCATCCCGTATGCCGTTGAATCTCTGTCAACTGATAAACGTTTTCGCGCCTTTTCAAATTTAAATGAATCAAAGCGAAAAAGCAGAGCATCATTTTGGTCAACGTAATTGGATCAACGGTTCACAGTCAATAAACGTGCCTTCGACCAGCAATTTGCATTTGCCGTATTGATTGTACTCAACATAGACACCAATCGACTACATGGCGGATGGCCAGCGCAGCCAAATGATACACATTACAGGTATACAAGCACGTTCATCGGAGGCCCTAATCATTGATTACTCAAAACAATATCTGTCCATTACAGCTGTATTTATCGTGTGTACGCTGAACTACTCAGACTGTATTGGCCTTCCGCTGATAGCCAAATCCTTCTTGAACAGGATGCAATGGCTAATCTGCGCAGTCGACCTGTCCAGGTGCCTCACGTTCTCACGTTCGGCCAGACGCTATTTTCCAATAGAGACATTACAAATATTTGAGTTATTTTAGATATGAAATGTTCTGGGTTGTTGTCCCTGATGCAGCTGAGCCTGTTCGTGGTGGCAAGCCCAGGCTGTGCCATTTTCGGAACTAAGTGAATGTAGGATATACGGAGTTGAGTTTACTTTGGCAACTTAATAGCTTAATGTTTGATTACATCTATTAAAAGATACGTTTTTAGTTTAATAGGCAATCGAATTGTTGCTTACTTATTAACAATATAAAGATTACCCAATGCATGGGTACAATTTTAAACGAAGCTTAAACAGAATGGCTAAATAATACTTAGACTATATTCATTGTGTAAAAATAAATAATTTGTTCAATTATGTTTCTCAAAAGTTTGTACTTACATCACTGTTATTTTCTGTGGCGCCCATCGGAATATATCCTGCACAATACGTCCTTGTTTAAACAATTAAACACTGAAATATTTACGAAACGAAATGGACATACATATGTACATATATGTATGTATGAATATCGGATATTATAAACTGGAACGTTAGTGGATTTGAGATTGCTATAGAAACACACATATAGTCCGCGGGTTCGTTAACGGCACAGCGCGGCGGTTCTGGACTGATTGCGAGCGGATTGGCAACTGTGGGGAATAATTAAGCCCAATGCACTTGCCTCTGCTGCGGTCAATGATATCGACGAGCTGATAGGAGGGTCATAAACTGCCAAATTAAACGAGCCTGTTTTGTGGCCCTGATTTAATGAAACAGCGCGCTGGTGTGGGCGTGAATGTTTTCCATCCGTATTACTTCAATAATAGCTATTCCTCGATCGCTGCTTCACTAAAATTATCTGTTTAATTCAATAACATTGGAAGCCTTTATCAAAATGTGTTGAATGTGCTGTTGGAATACACAAAACACCGCTTTATCTTTATTGATTCGACCCATGAATTGACCAGAATCTTGTGCTCGAATTGTTTTCATAACACACCTGAGAATCGATTAGATGTGAGGGCAGGGTGAGGGGTTCATACAAATTGCAAACAATATATGTAAATTTTAATTTAAAACGTTGCACAGTTCGGAAAATGCGGAAAACTGAAGATTTGTTTTAAAAATGAAGTAGCTTGATTTTCGAGATTTAATTCAAAATTTTGTTCATAAATGTTGCAGTTTTAATCAGTTAAAGTTTATATTAAAAATATTCTGAGAAAATAAAAACACTTAGATATATATTTCAAGTATTTATTTCATACGGATTACTCCTACAAATACTGAATACTAGCGCTTCTATTGAACTAAATTGTATGCAGAATCCGCTTTTTATTTATTTGCCGAAGGGATAATCTTTCTTTCCACATGATCGATGTCTGTATTGGGACTGCTTTAGTCCAAAGTTGAGAATGTCTTCTGGATAGAGGACGGGCTGTTGCGTGGCTAGGAAAAAATGCATGAATTATACTACGGAGAAGAACAGCAAGAACATAAGTTAGCTATAGCTAAAAACAGAGAGTTAATACCATCAATACTAATGATATTGTGGGTACACAATATTTGTTACTTTTTCGTATTTGAATCAATTTGTAATGGGCGCGAAAATTGCAAATGATATCGATATAAATGTCAGTGCTGTAAAGCGGCCTTCCTTTCCGGATTTTTGTTTCTCGCTCGAAGCGGTCACACTTTGTATAAATATTCAAATTCGCGAACAAAATTTAATTTTATTATTTGAACGATTCTATATATAGCCAATATCATTCCTGCTCAGCTATTGGATATCCTCGTTGGTGAGTTCGGACAGATGTGTCGCATCGGGAACAGGCCGATGATTTTTGCTACCTCAGCTGATTGCGGTTGCTCTTACTCTGCCATATGGAGAGCACCTGAACATGAACATGATGTCAAAGTTCTTGTCGGGAGTCTCAGTCTCTGTCGCCAACTGTAGGGCCATGTCGATGCAGGTGCTGCCATCCACTCTATTGCTGGTCATGTCCGCATCGTTCCTGGAAAATCGGGCGGACTCCAATCGTCGCGACGTTCCTGCAATACATGGAGAAGGACTTCTGTCCCACCTACATTTCTGAGGGCAAGCGGGGATCCCTGGATCATCGGCCTGTCTGTACCTGGCTGTAACCAGCTCTGGCATCATTTGGGAGTTGAAGAATGAGAGCAAAAAGCACTTCCCGGCTTCCTGGGCACTCTAGTGAAGTGCGCACCGGACATGAACGATGTCGTGTTCCAACTGGCCTTCATCGAGCGCGAGTATCAGTTCTTCGGGCAGCAGCAACTGATCAATGAGATAACCTCGTACTGCACGGGCCAGGCACTCATCCTTGGCCTGGATATCCGTGGTAAGGGGTTGGTTAGGTGATTGGACTTAAAAGGGGCGTAGAGGGCTTGTTCTACGAGCCATTACAGGTACACCTACCTTACCTTATTTTAATATATTACTTGTAACAAGCATTACAACATATTTTCATTTTAGGGGCCTATACAAGGGCCTGATGAATTCGCTGAAGGTGTGGTCGTGGGCGTTAAGTCCCAGTTCGTGAACACACAACGTTCAAAGATACTGATCTGATTGCTGAGATGTAAATATTAAGCCTGTCTGATACCAAAAAGCCTGATAGTCAGGTCAGGTGTTCTGGTACTGTTATTTTTGTGCTAGTATCTGGAAATAGTAAAATAGAATCACAAGTCAGTTGAAAATCAGTACAGCAGTTCATATATTTTCATTTGTCGTGTTTGTTGCTACGGACGTGTTCCCAATTATCAAAATTCCCAACTATAGAGCCAATATTCGGCAAGCAGAGTCAGTCGTATTTTACGCAACAAAACTTGGAGCAGATCAACTGCAGCAATACAGAACCAGACAACCATCATGGCGAATTTGGCTGTATCACGCATCAAGCGCGAATTCAAAGAAGTTTTGAGCAGCGAGGAGGTGAGTCCATCATCCCATGTGACCAGAAGCTTACCCGTATGACTAGCGTCGCCATCGCCAGCGGCAGTGGCGGTACAACACTTGGGGCGACTTGGGAGGAGTGTGGAGGAGCAATAATAATAGTGACTCAATTAATATCTGTAATTTTCTCTGACAGATCGACCAGTGCGCTATCAAACTCGAGCTTGTGAATGACTGCTGGACAGAGCTGCGGGGCGAAATATCAGGCCCCCCCGACACACCATACGAAGGTGGAAAGTTTATGCTGGAAATTAAAGTGCCCGAGACATATCCGTTCAGGCCGCCAAAGGTGGGTATCCCTAAAGCAGCACACTAAACCGCAGGTTTAAAACAAAATGCATCTTGTCGGCAGGTTCGTTTTACGACGCGCATCTGGCACCCCAACATCTCATCTGTGACTGGGGCCATTTGCCTGGACATACTCGGGGACAACTGGGCAGCGGCGATGACGCTTCGCACGGTTTTGCTCTCCTTGCAGGCCTTGCTGTCCGCTGCCGAGCCCGACGATCCGCAGGATGCTGTTGTAGCACACCAGTTCAAGGACAATTACGATCAGTTTCTGCTGACCGCGAAGCACTGGACAAGTGCTTACGCAGGCGGACCGTGCAACTTCCCCGACTGTAACATAAAAATTAAACGCCTCAAGGACATGGGCGTCGACGAACATGAAGCGCGCAGCGTCCTCTCTAGGGAGAACTGGAACTTGGAGGAGTCCATCAAGTGCCTGTTCGATTAGCTTGCTAAGAACACGGTAGCAGCACCCACACCCACAATAAATTTTTAATTTGTTCAATTTGTTCTTTAATAAACCACACACCATGTTTCAAGGTTCTGTTTTGTTTGGTTTGAATTGTACATTTGGTCGCCGGGTCTCCTGCTACAGGTGGGCCTTAGGCCCTGCCCGCGAACCTCTTAGTCAATCAATCAATCATGTGTCATATTTCTGTACATGTCCGTGAACCTGGGCAGCCTCCGTTTATATTTCCTTCACTCTTTTCTTGCTATGCTAAAAGAACTAACCGTTGTTTTTTTTTTAAATGAATGAAATAATGAAATTAAGCATTAAAGACAAACTGGCGGGCACATACGCACACCTAAATAACCAAAGTCATCGATCAGAGAGAGGGCATCGGCAGAGGCAAGTCGAGAAGTGGCGGAATCTCGCCTTAAAACAAATGATTATTGGTAGTTGATTGCTCTTAATTGCTTTTTCTTGGCCGCCCACTCCGTTGGAAAATTACTGCAGTTAAATTCAAGTTAACCTGGTCGTAAATCGCGATGTGGGCGACCTTTCAACCTCGATGGTGTGCATTGAACTGGCTGAAAATTCGCAAATCCCCGAGGCACAGACAATGGCCCCGGCTGGAAAATAATAATAAAAAAACTGACAACTGTTGCGAAAAAAAAGAAGTGAAAAAGTAAGAGAACTTGAAATTGATATGTACAACACAATGCACAATGCACGAACATTAAGCAATTTCCTTTTCCTTTGAGCCCAAGTTTATAGCGGTGGGGCCTCTCATCAGGCGACTGACTTTCAGCTGGCGGTTCATTGTACTCCACCTGTCATCGCTCTGCACCGTTCTGTTCTGTTCTGCGGCCAAAGATAAAATCGCATTTTAATGGCCACCAAATCTCCAAATCGCTTGCACAGAGCAGCACGGGCTTTATCGTCAATCCTCAAGCCAAACAAATTGCCATAAATTGGCCGCCTTGGAGCTGTCGAAAGCAGAAAAGGAACAATTCGCCGGCATCCTTAACGGATTGCTTTCTAATGGTACGAGTACTCATGTATGTACACATATATTCAGGTGAATTCATTTATTATGTTGCCTACAATAATTCATCGGACAAGCTGCAAATGCTATTTCATTGTTCTTTCAGCCATGTGTCCACTTGTTAGCCATGCTCTTTGATGCAATGTTGCTGGCAGGCGGGACGGACAGAAATGAAAGGAAAGTGCAAACATGAGCTCGAGAGTGACTTACATTGTTGCACTCCACTATTCGCATTTTTCCAGTGACCCGAGCTGGACCAGGACGCTCTCGACACGACTGACAGACTGACTTTGACATGGCATTGTGCCCGGGAGGACAGGGAACACAAACACTGTGCCGGACAAGCAACCGGACTATAAATAAGATACGACTCTACATACACACATACATACATACTCGCATGCACATATGTATGCATGTATATGTTGCTAACTGAATGAAGGGAATTAATGGATGAATGTTTGGGGCGTGTGTGTCGGGTGTACGTGCGGGCTCTGTGTGTGTGTGTGTGTGTGTGTGTGTGTGAGAGTGTTGTAAGTGCAAGAACTGTGTCACGCCTTTATTTGGTCGCTATCTACATATGTCCTTGCAAAAGGGTAATATCATTTCAGGCAGAGGTTCGCGAAATCTGCTAAAAGATACAGAAATAGCCAGAGAAGACTGTAAGTATTCTTCAAGGCTCCTTCGCCGTTGAGCTCTATCCTTCGAAGAGTATTATCATAGCAATATTCCATCATATGACTGCATTTATGCATAGGTAGGGTATTAAAAGCTTTGGCTCTCCGGCACTATATTTTCGTTTCGTTTCGTTTCTTTTCTTTCTTATGTTTATTTTGTTTTCCCACACAATAGACCAAAGCGGTGCGGAGCGGAGACAGTGGAAAGCTGTTACTTCCAGCTTGTTATTATTTCTGGCTTTTGTTGATAGCTTCATAAAAGTGCTGCTGTATGTATGTATGTACATACATATGTGTGTGCCGCTCTCTGTGTGTGTGTGTGTGTGTGTGTGTGTGTGTGCTTGTGTGTACTTCCTGTTGCTTGTTCGTTCGACTTTTGCTTGAACATTTCCGCTTGCTTTCATTTAGCATCCACCACACATTCACTTTGACTCATATTTGTTGCTGCTGCTCCGTTCTGCGGTTGTTTGCATCACTAATTTCAAAAATATTTTAAACACTTGAATGCGCTAGGTGGGTGGGGGGGTTGGTGGATTGGGGAGTATGTATTCAGGTCACTTCACTTCATTTGTGGCTTTGCTTTTATCCCCACATCTGCTTACGAGTGCGGGTAATCTTATTGTTCTCACGCCCAGAGTGAAGCTTCACCTTTAAACTTCCTGCGGTGGAGCATCTGCCGTTGACACCTGTCGTCGCCTCCTCCTACAGTCTCCGTGCACTAGACAATGCATCCTACTGCATCCTGTGGCTGTTCAGAGCACATCAGGGATGAGGACATGTGTCCGCCCACATCCAACTCCAAAGTGCAAGATACAGTAGCATCAAGAGCCAGGCCAGCAGCAACCTCAACTTTACCACATTTGCCACTGTTGACCTTTTCCGGGTTTTTGTAGCTCCCGAGGTTACGGCCAGCAAAATGGACTCCGACACGTTGTCGTTTGCCATGTTGAAAGCCATTTGATATAGTAGTAAGCTTGAAAATTGCGTTGCGTCTATAGAGTGGGGCGCGTGCAGCAACAGGTCTGAAAAGCGTCGAGATAAACAGGCTAAAATTAAAAAAAAAAAAAAGGGAAAGTCTCATAACAGGAAACAGCCCCAGGGACCGAAAAGCGGAAAGAAAAACATCTAAGAGCCCTTTGTAAAGTTTTTCGCTTCAAGGCAGGCAAAGAGATGCATGGCAAAAAAGGCTTAGGGCTTACTAAAATTAACAGAAGCATAAAAAACAGAGAGAGAGAGCTGAATAATCTTAAAGAAGTTGGCCACGGCGCTGGGGAATGGGGGAACAAGGGGAATGGATGCATGGATGTATGGATGCTGTCTTCCCAGTGCCATGGTAAGTAATATGAATAATATACTTAAGTAAATGAAATTACTTGGGAATCGCTTATGTACAACTTTACTATGTACTCATATGCACATATGTACATATAGTTGCAGAGGCGTTTCTGGCATTGTGCTAACAGCCAAGTTCTATGTAAGATGGGAACGAGGATTCTGATGCCTGTGCGATTCCAATACCAGAAAAACGATCAATTCGCCGGGGCATGCTTCAGAGCACTACGCTTTTTTATGTTTTTTAATATATTTTTGTATTAAATTTTGAGCACTGCAAAGTAAGGCCAAAGGTAAGAGTCTGGGCCACGATTTGTGAGGAGTAGTTTCAGGCGACTGTGGACGATGCTTCGCGCCTACACATGATGCCGGGAGCCGGGATGCCGGGATGCCGGGATGCAAGGACTGCCGTGTCAATTCAATCAACTTGCCAACCCCTCTATCCTCATCTTCGCCTTCTCTTCATCTTCATATTCATCTGGATGCTGCGTACCGTCGATGATGGCGTTGTTGTTGCTTGGTTACACAAAATGAGAATTTATTGTATGTGCCTTATGCATGGCACACAATTACGTTACGGCGGGTACTACCTAGCACATACATACATACATACATACATACATACATACATTCGCATGTAATCATACAGCGTGTCTGAGCAGTATAATAAAATTCCAATTTGCCCAACAAACGATGTCGCCGACACCCGCTTTTCATATAAAGAAATATACAAAAAAATATAAAGGAATATATACATACATACATATATTCCCCGCTTTCCTTTTCACAGCTGCAACACATACACAAATATGCACATAAGTACATACGGGAGTATGTATGTATGAGCTTGTGTTGTGTGCACATCCGAGTACGAGTATACAAATATGTTTTTCATTGTGCGTTTATTATTATGGGGAAATTGAAAAACTTGTACTCAGCCCCGCAGTGCCTCGACAGGTGCATTAGAGGGGGTATTGGCTCTTAGCTTTCAATTGAGATGGGATTATTGGTATTATTTCGGCCAAAGAAACTCGCATTGTTAATCAAAAGTGTTTGATGTGGAGATCCAAGAAATGTGGACAAAGGATCTGGCCTGCACGCTCATTCGAAGTGCCAATATATCACCATAGAGCTCCAATTCATCGATGCTCGCCTTGAGGGTGCTTTGCACATGCACCCCATACAACCATACATCCATATAACCAACAAAAGAAACCGGTTAACAATGGTCTTGACCGCTTGCAGCATTTGCAGCATTAAAGGAAAAGTAACAGAGGAGTTTGCTGCGTTGAAAAGACTCTCGAATGCGTGAATAAAATCCCCGACTCATCCGGCCCAAATGACGTAACTCCAGAAACAAGGGAAAACTGCGTTCGAACTGGACTGGGCGCTGCCTGAATGGAGGTCACGTATAGCATGCGCTCGTCTATAAATTGATGATGTGCATCAACGTGTGGCAATACGGACTATGAGACAAGGTGCGGTGGGATTTCTGCGGGGGCGGTGGATGGTTCCCTCGGTCCTTCCATTAAGCCATTGACTGAGGGATACGTTTTTATCGGCGAATGTATACTCGGATCTGTTTTTAGCATTTATGACATTTAAAAGCTTCATCGCAAAAACACACATAAAAGCCCACGCTCAAAATTTATAAGAAAAATCCCCCAAAAAACATTCAAGTTTGCCAAAAGTAAAAAAAAAAAACCAAGAAATATACATACGAGTATTTATGTTTAAAAATGTGCCCCATGCTCCCATGCCCCATGCCTCTGTATGTAGCAGTCATCACGGCACCCTTCCAGCGCTCAGATATAAATACTTAATGCATGTCAGTATGGTTTTTCGCTTTGATTTAACAACGTTGATTTATGGCCTGCCCCGCTGCGCCGTTCCCCCGTGAAGTATGCCGCCTCATGGTAAGTAAAAATCAAATCGGTAAACCGTAAATGTTCCACATTCCACTGATCCACCTCACACCCACACAGACATACAGCCACACAGACACAGAGCCACCTCGCACTCAGCGAATTTAATTAGTGC